TCAATGCCATTATGACCTCCACTACTAGGTGCATTCTACTATGTTGTTAATCAATGCCATTATAACCTCCACTACTAGGTGCATTCTACAGTGTTGTTTATTCATGCCATATTGACCTCCTTTATCAGGTACATTCTACTGTGTTTTTTTATCAATGCCATTATCACCTCCATTACTAGGTGCATTCTACTGTGTTGTTTGGCACGTACTCCATGTCTAGCGAGGGCCTTGACATCCCGTCACTGGACACTTTGGTCTTTGCAACACCACGCACAGACATTGTGCAGAGTGTAGGGCGCATCGTCAGACAGCACGACGACAAATGCGATCCACTGATTATTGATATTGACGACCAACACGCCACATTCAGGTGAGTGGCCGGGGCTACGTGCTTGCCTGTCCGCGTTAACGTTAAAATGTTTATACAACGGAGTACTGCTAAGGGCATGGGTTGTACAGTCTATGCGTGTGTTGCCAATAGTGGTTGCTATTTCGGACCGTGACCCCGAAATGTAGCGTGCTAGTTGAGGTGCAAGTTTACATAGGGGTTTGCACGGATTGCACATTTCCTTGGTAATACTACTGGCACTTAGTCTCTTGCTCCAGATTTACGCCATGATCCAAACCCCACTGTCATGCCTCTGTACCGTACATACAAAAACCATACGCCAAGTTGATTTTACTCACGCTTCTGTTGTAGAGCTGGCTGGAAGAAACGGCTGGTGTTCTACCGCAAGCACTCGTATGCAATCCAAGAGGAGTCCTATCAAACCCACCGGAACTCAAAAGACTCGAACTGCTCAAGTGTAAGTATAGTATTCTATGGGTAAACACTGTACCTTACCCAAGAGTAGACGTATCGTAGGTGCCTCCATAGGGGTAGCATATGCTCCAGGTCAACCATGTGCCCAGTCAATGACCTGTCAACACACATACATACTGGGTCTAGCCTGTACGGCCGTTGCCTGTCTGTGCGTGTGTTCGATGTATCTAACTGTGCTACTTACCATATCCGCAGTGGGCCAAATGATGTGCCCAGTCAATGGCCTGTCAACACACACACACACACTGGGTCTAGTCTGTACGGCCGTCGCCTGTCTATGCGTGTGTTCGATGTGTCTAACTGTGCTACTTACCATATCCGCAGTTGGTCAAATGACGTGCCATTTTTTTTTGGATCGCCTCCCACACCTTCGATCAGTGTGAGCGAGCATGGTTTGTGCAGGGTGTACGCTCCCCAATAGTCTTGCTCCCCAATAGTCTTGCTTCCCAATAGTCTGCTCTCCAATAGTCTGCTCCCCAATAGTCTGCTTCCCAATAGTCTGCTCCCCAATAGTCTGCTGTCCAATAGTCTGCTCCCCAATAGTCTTGCTTCCCAATAGTCTGCTTCCCGCATCTGTCCGTTCACATCAACGTGAGCTGGATGCTTCTCTTCGTTTGATAAAGTGTGGTTGTAACGCGCAATTTATACTGGCTTTCTGGGTGCACCCTACATACCTCGAATAGTGACTTGTGGTTCGACACCTTGTCTGGTACCTTTTGTCCTGAACGCTCATCTGGTTTGTCATGTGAGAACAAGAAGTTTCCATGAACTACGAAGAATATTTATTGGGCTTGGTGTGATCTGCAGTCACGACCCAGATGCCGTGTAGTGCTAATTGTTGCACTCGATTGTTAATACAGCAGTCGCTGACATCCAGAATGTGCGTTTATGGTTTTAGGGTGCGTCTTTGTGATGGCGTATAGTGCTATCATGATGCAGTTTTGCTCGCCAATCTCTTTTGCATGCGTAAGTGTGTGCTCGTAGGACCACTTCAGCCCTATTTACTGACGATAGTCTTTCTCCTTTAGCCCCATCTCTAGGTGTGTTCAAGCCAGAAACATGTCACCGAGCAAATTTCCAACCACACATGCCACATATTCTATTCTCACCCCCACAGTCCGAATCTTCTGGCGCAAGTGAATCGCTCGATGACGAGGATGAGTCATCGGACAGTGACGAGCTGACGGGCGCTCACCACCGCACACACACACACACGCGGCGAAACCGTGTGAGTGTTAAAGACACACTGAGGAGCACACCGGCGCAAGGTGGAGATGAACCTTGTGCAGCACAACAACGCGCCAGCACGAGAGAGAAACGGGGTAGAGCTGTTGTGAGTGAGCATAAGAGGGGTGGGTGTAACGAAGGTGGATATAGTCGAGCTGGAAATGGCTCGGGTGGGGTGGACAATGATGATGAGTCGATGGATGATGGCGATGAGAGCGCATTCATCAACGACGATAATGATGATCTGGACCAGAACAGTGATGGCAGCTACCATATCGGCGATGATGCCGCAAGTGATAGTATCAGTGGCCCGGTTGGCGAGAGTGGCGTAGGCTCAGTCGCCATTGGTGGTGAGCGTTTGGAGGGTGGCGCAGACGCGATGTGTCGCGATGAACCCGATCAGTTAAGAGAGGGCGACCTGCGGGAGGGGATTCACTCAGACGCCCAACAGCAGATAGGCGTAAGAGTGCGACGGAGAGGGGAGCGTCACAGGGTTGTTGGCGGAAGTCCTTGGGGCAATTCTGGTCCGGAGAGGCGGGATATAGGGGCGGATCAATTGGGTACACCACGCTCACGTACGCCCAAAGGTTCCGAGAACCACAATGAATATAGCGGGGCAAACCGGTCTGTAGACGCGGGGGGTACTTTAGAGGAGCCGAAGAGACAGCGGAAATGCAGGCGGAGACCTCGGCAAAAGGTTACAGGGCCCGATTCAGGTAGTGTATCTCGTGAACTTAGAATTGATTTGGGCATGCATGGGTTGGGATTTGGAATTTGGAAGGCACAGCTATGCACACATATATATATATATATCTTTTAGTTATATGCGCACACGCTAGCGGACCATCCGGTGTATCTTCTGTTCACTGTCACCTCAAGAGCGAGTACAATGGGACTGGGATCTGCTTCTGTGTACGTTCCTGGGGCTAACCAGGCTGTGTATGTTCTTTGACCTCATGTTCACGTCTACAGAGTTGCCGGAAGACGGTGCAGCCGACGAAAACATCCTGGATAGCGATGAGGAAAGCGCGGTACCATTTGGCGACCAATGGAAAGCGGCAGAGTCGTCCGACGACCAATGGAATGGTAGCGATAGTAGGGAATGTGATGACGTAGAAGACGACAAAAAAATTCAGCAAAGCGATAGCGATGCCAAGTCTACGGATAAGGAGGGAGATGATGGGGGTTGCTCCGATTCCGACTCGGCGGAGGAGAAGCACGTGACAAGTGAGTTGCGAATACTGACTATTCTGGAAACAGTGATGTAGCGTTGTGTGTGCGTGCTGTGTTGTGTTGTGTTCCGGGAGGGTGATTCGATGTGCCGGACCAGTGGAGTGAGGACGCTGTGGATGTATATCTCTGGGCAACTTTGTGTGTGAGGTCGATATTCGTTTACCCGATAGAATCAACTCACAGTTTGACAAACTAGATACCTGTCTGGAGAGGTGCGCTCGGCTATGTGGGCCACAGCACGAGTGCTCGACTACCTGATGGTTGTGTGTTTAGAGTTGCACTTTCAGAACTGTTGGGACATACTGCCTGAGGCCCAGTTCAGTGGCGGAGACTTGGGGCTGGTATACGTTTGGTGTTTCGTTTAAAGTGTCGTTGTGTAGTTTGTAGTCCGCCATACGCTTCCGATCGACAGAGGTATAGTTTTCTGGGACTGCTCATGGTGACTGTCAACCCTCATACAGGTTGATAATGTAGAGCACATGCCCATATTTCAATTACATACCCACTAAGTGCAAACACTGACCTTAGTTTCACTCGGGTTGTCGCGATCCTTCCGTATGGTTGCCAGTGCAAAGACCAGGCAAGTCACACACCCGTAGTAGGAGCAAACGTGCTGTGGCTTACAATGCTCGACGAACTATCACCAGCCTGATGGATTACAGAGCCAAGACTGAGGTCACTCCGCGAAGCAAGAGGGCACAAGGTGGCGCCCCTCGCGCGGTACTCGACAGAGGAAAGTGCAGCAACAAGGGGTCGAGCAACAGCACAGCACAGCATGTGGCGAGTGTATGTCAAGCAAGCCCGAGATATGATAGCAGCCATGGAAGCAATGCTGCCCTCACACAGTCCAGGGTCTCGGGTGGGATGGATTCGTTAGCCTCGGCAGCGAAAAGAAGGAATATGGACTCAGCAGGGAGTGATTTGAGCGCAGCTGACACACTACGTACGCACGAAACGAAACGAGCTAAGTTTGAGAAGGTTACTGACGATGGAACTACTGTGTCTAAGTTCTTCTAGATGATTCGAACTTTTATGTAAACCTTTAGGGGAACGTGGCGTGCTTCTAATCATCTCGAATATCGCCCATCTATTACTACGGCTGATAATATTTACCTCGGTCTACGCATGGTTGAACCTTATGGACGCGAGAGTTTATCATCTGATACCGCACACTATTTAACTAGGTTGTGGTGATTGCGCTGAGTTATAAATTTATCCCGTTTGAATAGATGCGAACATTGGTATCGGCATTGTATACCGAACTTAAGAAGGCCTCGCTATTTGAGTGTGCAACAAAATCTGCAGCGGTTGATTTTAGCCCTTCTCAAGAAGTTCGTGAGACGGCGCCATAAATAAAGGGTTATACCATTTCAGTTAGCTATATTCTGAATTTTTCAAGCATGTGCGTATTTGTGCATAGAGCCTGGGGCTGTCTAAAATCATTGTTGATATGTATCAGATTATATCAAGCTACAAATGAATTCGAGATCACGAGACCATTTTTGATTTGGTGTCTGCAATGATTGGAATGTCGGCGACTGTATATACGGCGAACGTTATGATTTTTATGATCATACCATATGTTGAAACCTTTCTGGTCTCAATCTCCAAACAATCATAGCCTTCTAAATGAAGCAGTATCTATTGATGAAAGAGTAAGCTATGCATGATACATCTAAGATACTGTACTGATCCACCTAAAAAACCTAGCAATACTAAAGAATCGCAGCAATGGTACGAAATCCTGTGACGACTATTTCGATGTTTATTTGGTGTTTAACTCTTGTATGATGGCAGCTTTAAACGCGGAATTGATGGTAACCTGAAGGAGAGTCCATGTAGACCAAGTGAATATTCCGCTCCTTCATCTCATCCAACATATCCTTAGTCAGGTGATTGATTCCTGGGTACTGGAACAACCAAAGAGGTTTCTGCGTGTACAAGAGGGACTCGTGTGTATCCACGTCCCACGGGTAGTAGTTGAACATAGACTCTATAATGTAAGCGTCAAACTCATTCACCACCGCGGGTTCATTAACGTAATACGACGGGTTCTTCAACGTGACCTTCAAGCCTATGGAGTGCGCAAACTTCACAATCTCCTGCATGTACGCCACATAACGCGGGTCGATTCGCTCTTTGTCGGCATAGCTCTTGGATTGAGTATTATTATCAGTGACACCGGTGGAAGGTTTTGCATTATCGGTGGAGATCATAGTAAAGCCCCTTTCTTTGTAGCTACTTATGATGTCCTCCATGATTGGAAGAACTTTCGGGATCAAATCATTTGTGTTGAAAAACCAATCCCCCCAGACATCACCCTCACTATTCTTGTCCTTATTTTGCTTCCAGGCGAGTGCTACTAACCTGTCATCAGGTGTGTATTCTGGGTTGACTGTCCCAACGCTCAGATATGCCATGATGTCGACGCTGTGGTCCTTGAGAGCCTTGGACACTCGCGCATCAGGAATAGAAGGATCTGCGAATATAATATCAGCGCCCGTACAGTCCGTATCCAGTGCGTGCTCACTGTTTGCCCACGCAAGATTGCAGATTATAGAGGTTTCTGCGTCTTTTCGCATGGGAGCAGCGGTAACAATCGAAGCCAGGATGGTAGCGGCGATAAAGATTTGCGTATTTAACTTCATTGTTGATTATGTCTTTGGATTGCAGCGTGTTTTGTCTGACTTGCAGTACCTCGGATATAAGGTACTTTATACGTTCCTAAGTGTCCTGTTGTGTTTAAAGGCATGCACTATTCTTAGACCTAACCGCAGTGAGCAGTCTGTATGTGATGTACACTGATGAGTAAACTGTTAACAGTTATTAGAAGTCTTCTTTACAGGGCAACTACTCTCATCCTCTTGACGTTATTAGTTCCAAACCTCTACAAGTTCCAGAGTCCAGCTATTTTTAATTATACAGTGCTATGTAGTGTTGTACATAAATAACTAATTTTACGCCTAATGCATAGTTGCATACTCTCTTGATTGTCCTTTATAAATAATATGAGTAAGTAATTACTCTTGTCAGTCCGGAATATATATCTAGTGTATTTATTTATTTATTGTTTAAAATTAACAAAAACAAAAATTTAAAATACACACAGACGCACAGAGTTGCACACTGACTGTCAGTCTGTCAGCAGTCACAATCAGTCAATCACAGTCCTCAGCATTCAGCAGTGAGCACAGAGCAGACTTGGGCAGCAGTATGACGTATGCAGTATCCAAAAATAAAACACGAATGCGATTGGCTAAACAGTTTTATATCGTTTTCTATACGTTCGTACTTCGACTAGGGTTGTGCTCGTTGCTCTGAAGTCTGAGTCTGTGACTCTGTGTTGTTGTTTTTTTGTTAATATTTATTGCAATAGTGGGTGAATTGAAAGTCTACTACGTTCTTGCAACAGAATTCGAGCAACAATTCATCATTTCATGGTAGTATACAATACACATTAGTGTTAGATATCTAAAGGAGTTAGGGGACTGGAGCAGAAACTTGTTCCATACCGGGTGATATGGGCAATTTGCTTGACCACACCACTGCCTTAGTAGTAATGCGATGAGGTAAGGGATCCATAGTGTTTATAATTGCAATTAATATAGGGTAGAGAGTGTGTCACTTTGTAGTAAAGTTAAAAAGGAGGCAGCTGGGGACCATAGCAACAAGGAATAGTAAGTTTGATCTGGACGTAGCCGGTCCGCCCCGAGATGGCGGTGGAAAGATGCGGCCAGGGAGGATTGCTAGGAGTATAGCATTTGGGTGTTGTTGTTGCGGGGGGTTTACAGTAAGTCCAATAGCAATAAATGGGAGTCTTTGGGAAATTCCTGTCATATCTAGGATTCTTCCAATAGGGATCCAGGCAAAGCCAAGTCTGGGCATTGTGTGAGGGGTTGTTTTTGCGGTGTGAGGAAGTATTTAAGGTGGGAGTGAATTACTGCTAAATGTATCCATTTGTCTTTGTCAGCCAACCACGAGGTTATGGAGTCTGTACCATGGTGGGTGGGACCTAGTAGAGTTTGAAGAATAGCGTTTAGGCAATTGGAGTGTGATGTTGTAGCGACGATGTCAGTGTGTTGCGGGCTTCGAAGACCACCAAGAGTTCCTGACCCATTAGTAGACATTGTGAACCAAAAAGTGTTGAAGTACCATAGTAGTTTGGTAAGAACGACTTGGGCTTGGTGCGACGTGAAGATTTTGTCCTCGTAGTTTTTATCAGTTGTGATATCTCTGTCGAGCAGTAGCATTTTGTGTGCACGTACTGCTGAGTGCTATTTGTCGGTCTGGGATCTGTAGTGATTTTGTTCTTTGTATTCATTGGCTTTGGCAGCCATTTGGATATATGTTTTGTGGGTAGGACCATGATAGGCAAGGCACGAGAGCTGGGCGTCTAGTGCCATCTGTAGCCGAATATCAGAGTGAAGAATTAACGATTTTAGGGATGTCTGCAAAAAAAAAAGGAGATGAGAGCTGAGACTTGAGAGTTGACTCTAGTTGAGACTCAGAGAATTGTCGTGTACTCTACTCTCTACTACTGGCTTGGTATGAGGTGGCGATGCAATTAAGCTGATCTACAACCCATACCAAGCATTTAACTCTGGCGTATGGTTTGTATCAGGTATCGCGGGAAGTAGTCAAGAGTCTTCTTCGCCAGAAGGACTCTATAATCGTGGTGATTGCAAATTGAAGAGAGTGAGGACAATAAATACATAAAAAAATTAAATTTCGGTGAAGACTAAGACATGTCTCAATACACACATATACGCGTAATATTAGGAATAAATCATTCTTAGAAAATTTTGAATTTTTTTGTGTATATACGTACAGTATATTATGGTATGGTGGAGGTGGCGACTGTAGGTGGCTCTTACAATGGTTGCCAATGCAGGTTGCTCGCATTGTAGGTGGCTGTTTAGGTGGCTCTTGCAGTGGTGGCATCAAGATTTCTCTTAGTAGAGAGCCTGCCTAAAGTCGAAACAGTAAACACGACCAGGCGACCACTAACTTCACACATAAATTTGTACCTTGAATTACTTACAATCATCATAGAACATCAATGAATCATACAAGTAAACGTCAAGATTTTAGTGTGTAGTCTGTGGATATTTATGTATTTGTTTGTCACTCTGTGACACTGTGAGCTGTGAGAGCGAGAGTCTGTGACCGTTTGACTGACTGACTGTGAACAGTGCGAGGCGAGTGAAGCAACTGTGGTCTGTGGACTGTGGGTCACTCGCAGTCACAGAGTCACATGAGACTCGGGTCTCCTTAGTGGGTACATAAAGGCTTTCTACAGAAGTTGAGAATTCAGAATTGAGATTTCATATTGTATTTCGCAACCCAACGGTAAAACAGATTTCAAACATTCTGAGATACTATAAACGACAAGAGTATAGGAGGCAAATGCTTGATTTGGAAGGCTAAATAAACAATAAGTGGTGTCAGACAAATAGCCTGATGGGCTGGCACAGTTCAGTTCGTGTTCTTCCCGTGTCAAATGATATTCTGAAATAGGCTATGTAATAAGTGGTGTTTGTTAGACAAATAGGCTGACACAGTGCAGCTCATGTTCTTGTCGTGTGATTTAGAAGGCTACGTAATAAGTAGTGGTGGTAGACAAATGGGCTGGCACAGTGCCGCTCATGTTCTTGTCGTGTGATTTAGAAGGCTATGTAATAAGTAATGGTGGTAGACAATTAGGCTGGCACAGTGCAGCTCATATTCTTGTCGTGTGATTTAGAAGGCTATGTGATAAGTGGTACTAAACAAATAGGCTGGCACAGTTCTGTCCATGTTCTTTCCGTGTGATTTGATATTGTTCCCGAGATTTTATTTTTTCACCCCTGTTCGGGCTGCTGTGACTCTAAGTCTCTTTTCCCTACCAGGATATTCTGTCAGTCAAGGTTCTACAACACTGATATACCGTATACCTCCGTATGTTTGTGAAGAAACAATATACGTTCAAGGCTATTTAACAGCAATCAGACCCAATTATACAAAGTGGAGTACTATCGTTGTTAGAGTACTATCATTGTTTTCTTCAGTGTATAGAAGTAGTCTGAATTGAATCGACATCCGACAGTCCAGATCCTTACCGCAACCGCGACAAAGGAGACTCTTGACTGATACAAACGGTTATAAATAGACTAGTTTTGTAGTATGTACATTTCGGGGCCTGCGTCATATTCACTGGCAGCATAATGATTTCCAATCCGGATTTCAGGGATGGGATAACAAACCTCAATCCACATACGGGAAAGTACTTGCACGAGCGTTTAATACGTTAAACGACGAGTGTACGCTACAGCACGGTTGTTGCATGGTCCACCTCCTGCAAACTCTGCAGGATCTGTATGTGGTCACTCCCAATCTGTTTGGCCAACTCTTTTCGCATACTCAACGACAACGACGAGAACTTGCTCAACAACTCTCCGTCTAACACATTCTTAGCCGCGTTCGACAGCTTCACCGAGTTTTCTTGTTTGATTAAGCGGAATGCCTTGGGGTTCAGGCCCAGATTGTGGTTGAGCTGTGATGTGAGCCGTGTCTGTATCATGTTCAGCCTTCGGTATAGTCTGTTAGCAGGGGCACAGCGGCGGTGGGTGAATCAGCGGAGTTCAAGAGAATAGAAATAGAATGCAAGTACGGGCTTGTGACCTTGATCAAATTTTATTAACGGTTAAGTACTGGTATATAATCATATCGGAACAGGTAGATAGACATTCACAGTATTAACAAGGGATCTCAAGAAATTACAAAGACTAAAAATCCAGATACTTTCGAATTGCTACATACTTCAACCCTTCCCAGGAATGTGCACTGATCTCTCTCTATATAAGAACTCACTCAAAGGCGTTTAAAAAGTGCGTATTCCGTGGTACAAGATTAAAGTACCAATAGATGCCCCGAATGGCTTTGCAACATCAAACAGAATATTCTCAAATGTCCTACTATTGACATTACATACCCCAACACGTAGGAGTATGAAGTCCTCGGGCTCAGGCCCAGAATAAATGCGAGACTCAGAAGAACGTGTAAGATACACGTGACATTTGTGCATTCTCTCAAATAAAAACAAACGTGTTGTAGCGTCAATCGTATTCGCGAACCATCCCGCCCATGCGGCGGTCTAAATATATATAACACACATGAAAGAGTTGATGTAGCATATAATCTACAAATGAAAGCCAACTAGATTTCTATCACCCAGAGGAACACCAACAAGTATGTGCAGTCGTTCTACAAAGATATATTTCAATAAAGCACAGCATACACATACTCCAATATACGAATGAGGGAATACGTGAATCACAACTAAAACCTTTCTGTATAACTTCTGAATGCGTATCAGAGCATAGCGTTCATTTGCCTTGTGCACATGTTTAACACTCCAAAGAGTATTTATATAGAACACAAGAATTCAGTTGCATACATATATATACAAATAATTTTGCTTCAGCAGCGTGATGCATATCAGGCCGATTCTTCCCACACCTCTGTCATTTCGCATACTTCAGTGTATACGTTTGGCACAAAATTGCATAGATACATACATACATTCATACATAATATATATATATATATATAAAGCATAGATACATACTTTTCATCGATAGGCTGTATATAACTGATGCTTCCATCCAGGGCTCCGCACACATTCACATGCCGGCGTTTTGGATATCTCGAACCTGGGGGTGGCCTCGCCTCCACTCGATTGATAGAACTTACTAAACTACCTACATGGATATCCACTTTTCTGATGAGCTTGGTACCACCAAGGCTATCCGGGTCTGCACAACGGTGTACAACCATATATGAGATTAATAAGATGTTATCGTCACGTCTATAGCCAACGTCTGATTGGTAATTTCCGTCCTAAAGCAAAAACAAAACATGCCGGTACGCGCAACGATTGAACGTCAATGACGGAACAACTGTGTGCAATGATGTGGAAGGCTCGACAGCACGTCAGAAAATGAACGCATGCAAGATTTCAAATCAACTGTGTGGTGAGAGAAACATATACAGCCGGAATATTAAAAGACAGCACGTCAGTAGATAAACGCATGCAAGATTTCAAATCAACTGTGTGGTGAGAGAAACATATACAGCCGGAATATTAAAAGACAGCACGTCAGTAGATGAACGCATGCAAGATTTCAAATCAACTGTGTGGCGAGAGAAACATATACAGCCGGAATGGTGAGGGCAGATGCCAGTAGATCAGGCCTTAAAAACCTTAAGTAGGCTATATCTGCAAGGAAACGGAATGGTGGAGCACTGGGAGGATACACCCTATGAACCAGATCAGACCAGATGGAAATAGCAGGTAGATTGCGTATGCTAATGAATAAAGACCAGTGCTCTATACGAAGACGCCGTGTCTGTGGACGTTATATCGCAAAAATAAATAGGTTAAAAGGGCCAAGGGATATCTAGGTCTGAACACGGACACTATATTAAAAACTGGTGAATTAACACGTTCCTCCCGAGGACACTGCCTTACTAAAGTCGGCTAAATGACTGAAGTTCGGTGGGGCAACGGGAAGACCAAAGTACGTATGGCATATGCATACAGTTGCGCGATGTATTCCACAATAGCTTGATAGAAGCATCCGTTCATACTCGACATGATTAGAGCATCTATTTTAAATCGATATATCTAGACAAGGAGCATACTCTCCTACAACTTATTAATTTACTCATGTAGTGAGAATGGGAGAAACTGATACAGGTGTACGTACCTCTATATATATACATATACATACACACACACACACACACATACATACACACACACACACATAC